GGAACTCGGGTGTTCAGAAAGTCCGTAGCCAACGGTTGTGCAATGTAACGCCCGATAGTCAGGACAGCAGTTAAGGCTAAATGAGCTGAGAGACCGCAGTCCAATATAGTTGGAAAAAGGCATGCGTTTGCAAGCACATGAGCTTCACGCACTACAGTAGAATCATGGCTGGCAAGTGTAATCCGTTCCGTCACCGAGCTCGTCATGTGAGACACTTTGCGAAACTTAGCCAAACAGACTGCATCACATCACTGACTGGTTGCAGGTGACCGAAGATCCACGCACTGGGAGCAAGACTCAACGGTGGACACAAGCAAACATACACTGATAGCTCCATAACTGAGCAGAAGCTCGTCAATCGAGAAAGAATTTCCGCTAGTGTCTCGCTCGTTACCTGAAATGCTCGTAGACGAGGCTGTACGTCACCTAAGGCTCCACTGTACCAAAGTGTTGTGCATCGCGGTGAATATTTAAGCATAGTTTAAAAACCACCATTTGGGAACAAATCGACAGGTATGGACCACATAAGGCCCAAAAGTTTAGCCCTTTGGTAATCGTTTTTGTGATTTGGACAAAGACGCCTGCTTTCGATGCGCAAGCGTTGTGATTCACTTTAAGCAATGTCTGCATTTTTCCCGGGAATAAAAAAACTACGTTCTAAGACGTTGTTCCAGTTAGACTGATCAGTTTCAAAGAAATATCATTCCTATTGCAATAAATCAGGATGGTTGCGAGGTTTTGATAAGAAAATCTGCAATTTACTAGTTATTGGACCCGATAGCCGTGAGGAAGGAATATGGATCGATGGCATACATTTCCTGATAAGAACCTCCAACAGTTAATCGACATGATCGCACAGAGAAATGGGAAGAAGAATAATCAGACGGCGACTAATCCCAAGATGTATCAGTATTGCCACCATGGATAGAGACAATATCTTTAAGTCCCGTTCCTCTACTTGGCCACGGGAGTACCTCTAAATAAAGCCTTAACTTTTCATAAAACTGGAAATTGATCAGGTTTACCTTAACCAAAGGCCCCAGAGGCGTGCTGAGGTAAAAGTGGCGAGCCACCCTCTGGTGGAGAAGAATTAAATTACGTTGTGGACCAAGCTCAACGGACGGAAAGCTCTGTATCTCTTTCCAGACAGCGTGAATATTGCGGCTGAGAAAAGATGCTTTATCTTTGAAAACTATGTTTAATACTTCTTAATCACGTCGTATAATCCAAAGACAAACCAAGCTAATTCGTTTCAGATGTAAATGGCTCAAGCAGACTGCAGGTAAAAACGTGCTCAACGTGAAGGGATACCGCGCATTAAGCTGTGACTTTTCCAGCTTGGGTGGGGGGTTTACATTGCAGTTTTAAACTGTGTTGTACGCGAGTTTGAAGTGAACAAAACGTGGAAAATGTGCCGCGTGCTAAATCATATTTTGGTAAGGTTGCCATAAATCGCACATTCAGCGTCTATTATTGATGTATTTGTATAGGTATGCCTGGAAAGCAAACCCACTGGGACACAAGGTCAACCTAACGTTCCTGACAGTATCATGCATACCCCACTGGAAGGTATAACAGTGCATTGGCCCAACTAGCTCTTTTCATAGTTATGCTGAAAAGAATTGGTCAACTGACGGAGTGCATCAATGAAGCGAAATAGTTAAATCTGCAGGTTAGAAAAATGCGCAAATTTGGAGGTCGCAAACCTTCTCGTCGCCATTCCACAATGCGTGAATATGTGACTGTTAGTCAGCGACAGTTTATCAGGGTAATGTGACTAAAACATGCTGGCAACAATAATTACCCGGTTAGTAGGAAAGGCGACGCATGCGTGAAACGTAGTCAAGATAATAATTCTATTAAGGCAAAATGCAGTGTCTAAATCCCTAATGATAAACCCCAGAGCTTAGTTCCGAGAG